GAACCCAGACCAGTGGTCGTTCCATATGTTGAGGGAGTATCAGAGAAACTGAGACGTTTATTTTCTAAACATAACGTCCCAGTGGCTTTTAAACCCCAAAATACATTATGGCAAAGACTGGTTCATCCCAAAGATCCAGTCCCCCGTCACAAACAGAGTAATGTTGTGTATGCTGTTCAGTGTCAGGAGGGCTGTGATCAGTCTTACATTGGGGAAACAAAACAGCCACTGGCCAAAAGGATGGCCCAGCACAAAAGATCAACATCATCAGGCCAGGACTCTGCGGTCTACACTCATCTCCAGGCCAGCGGTCACTCTTTCAGGGATGAAGATGTTCACATCCTGGATAGAGAGGAACGATGGTTTGAGAGAGGAGTAAAGGAGGCCATCTTTGTGAAAAGAAATCGTCCATCGTTAAACAGGGGTGGAGGCCTACGTGTTCATTTGTCCCCCTCTTACAATGCTGTGATTGCTAGTATCACTCAGCCCTTTGTGAATAGTAAACAGTCATCAGGGTGCTAATGATACATTGTTAGGCTGATGGCCCTTCTTGAGCATGTGATCAGCTGGTTTTGGTTGTCAGTAGCAAAACTGGTTGATCCACTCTGAGAAGGTGCTATTGAAGAGACTGAGCTGTATACAGCACCTCAGACTGAGGAAGTCTCTTGGATGAGAGACGAAACGTTTCTATATTTTTTTGCTTTCTTTAGTTTTTTGTTTTTTTGAATGTCCAGAGGACCAGATTGAACTTTTTTGGATTTAAATCATCTGGTTTACGAGCTAAACCGTAAGGTGGAGGAGATTTATGAGAATCGCAGGCCACCTGCGGCTTCTGGGACTCATCAGCGTGGTGGGTTCAACCTTGAAGGAGACTCATAGCATGGATCAGTGGAATGGAATCCCACAATTAGGCATTTTCGGAACCAGAACGCCCAGATGGACTCAAGGCTGGAAAAAAGTAATCTTTATGCCTGAAGCAAAACAAGAATCAAGCTTATCTGAATCAGACTCCCCGACGGCCTCGGAGACAGGCCGCCTATCAAATTTCTCCTGGGACATGGGTAACCAAGGACAAAAGCTTCATCTACCCCCCCCACCCCCACCCCACCCCCAGAACTTTCTTTGCAAGCTTATCAGAACTGCTGGCTGAAACAACATCTTCAGAAACTGTGGCTGATCTGAAAAACGCTCATGGACAAATCTCAACACCTTGATGTCAAATGCAAATGTTTTAATGTTTTAGTCATGTTTTAATTGTGCTTGCTGGTAGAGGTTTTTTGATGTCTCAAATCGTGTCCTGATAGACAAGATGTGAAAGATCTTTTTTTTGTAATACCACTATCTACCCTCATGTTTCTCCCCATTTTCTTATCTCAAAAATATTATTCTGAATAAGGATAAGAAAAGGCCGTGCTTTCTATAGTTGTAGCTTCGTGCACTCCGCCCATCTTTCGGACTACTGTACGTACATGTTCGCATTGTATCTCGGTGCAATGCCAATAAAGTTTATTCTGATTCTGATTCTAAAATCAGACACCACTCTGAGCAGCAGGACCATGCTTTCCACAGAACAACTGTGTCAACTCTTGAAACTGTGCCTGCAGTCAACCTACTTCACATATGGGGGCCAATATTATAAGAAGAAACATGGGTGTGCTATGGCGTCTCCAGTTTCTCCTATTGTGGCCAACCTGTACATGGAGGAGGTAGAAAAGAGAGCATTGACGTCCTTTTCAGGGACACCACCGAGTCATTGGTTCAGGTATGTTGACAACACCTGTTAAAATTAAATCTCAGGAAGTCCAACATTTCACTGATCATATCAACTCTGTGAATAAATATATACAGTTCACACGAGAAAATGTAAAAATATGTCAGGTTGGCTTTCGTGGACTGTGATGTCCCAGTTTCTGATAGAGGACATTTTCAAACTGAGGTGTACTGCAAACCCACCCACACAGACCAGTATTTGCAGTTTGACTCCTATCACCCTTTGGGGCACAAGTTAGGCGTCATCAGGACTCTGTACCACAGAGCAGACAGTGTCCCCACTAACTCAGGAGCCAGGCAGAAGGAGAAATCCCACACAAGACAAGCTATAGAGCAGGGATCTGCAAACTTTACGATCAAAACAGCCATTTCTGCCCTTTCGTTCACTAAATTAAACGTGCCCAGAGCCGCAAAACCTGCTACAATTGTCATTATCAACTGGTGGCCCATGGGCCACTTTAAGTTTGTTAGAGGGGGCTTTTCTGGCCAGTAGGTATGAAATTATAAAACTAAAAACATACAATGATTGTTAATATTTATTGATATTTTTACATTTTGAGACAAAAGAAAAGACTGGATTCCATCCATTCATCCATTATCTTTACCTGCTTCTTCCTTTATGGATCACAGAGGTCACTGGCGCCCATGTCCACCTATCACTGTGTGAGAGGCGGGGGACACCCTGGACAGGTCACAAGTCCATTGTGGAGAAATTGAGTATCCCTACTTTGAAGAAATAAAGCATAAAGTTAAAGTGAGTATAATTTAATCTGTGTATTATTACTAGTATCCACATAATTGTAAAGGAAATGATAGGAAAACTGCTAAAACTAGTAATATTTTGTTGTGGGTATATCATCTTATAAAATTCAGTTTTATCTAAGTTTTGGTCAAAGCTTGAAAGAGCTGCTGCAGAGAGACCAAAGAGCCACATGTGGCTCCAGAGCCGCAGGTTGCAGACCCTTGCTCTAGAGCAATGTGGATATCCTAACTGGGCCTTCCTGAAAGCAAAGAAGAAACCCAAACAGGACTCCAGTCAGCCATCAGGTGAAAAGGAGGAACCCAGACCAGTGGTCATTCCATATGTTGTGGGAATATCAGAGAAACTGAGACGTTTATTTTCTAAACACAACATCCCAGTGGCTTTTAACCCAAAAATACATTACGGCAACGATTGGTTCATCCCAAAGATCCAGTCCCCCGGCACAAACAGAGTAATATTGTGTATGCTGTTCAGTGTCAGGAGGTGATCAGTCTTACATCGGGGAAACTAAACAGCAATTGGCCAAAAGGATGGCCCAGCACAGAAGATCAACATCATCAGGCCAGGACTCTGCGGTCTACACTCATCTCCAGGCCAGCGGTCACTCTTTCAGGGATGAAGATGTTCACATCCTGGATAGAGAGGAACGATGGTTTGAGAGAGGAGTAAAGGAGGCCATCTTTGTGAAAAAAAAAAAAAAAAATGTCCATCATTAAACAGGGTTGGAGGCCTCCTTGTTCAACTGTCCCCCTCTTACAATGCTGTTATTGCTAGTATCACTCAGCCCCCTGTGAATAGCAAACAGCCATCAGGGTGCTAATGATCCATCGTTGGGCTGATGGTCCCTCCTTGATCATGCGAGCAGCTGGTTTTGGCTGTCAGCAGCAAACTGGTTGATCCACTACGAGAAGGTGTTATTTATAAGACTGAGCTGAAAACAGCACCTCAGACTGAGGAAGTCTTTCAGATAGAAGACAAAACATTTCTATAAATTTTTTTTTTGTTTGTTTTGTTTTTTTAATGTCCAGAGGACCAGACTTAACTTTTTTAGATTGTAGAAATAAAGGTTGAATGAAAAAACCTGTCAGATAAATTCAAAGTAAATCACTTGGATTAGACATTTGATATAAGTTTGTTACACCTGAGATAACAGGCTTTCTAGAATTGTGCAGCTCAGGGTAGCTGCATGCTGGAGTAGCTCTGTTACTTTCATTCTGAGGTTTTGCTTTTCAAAACTTTAATTCCTCTTTTGCTGGATGTAAATCACTTTTTTTGGATGATAGATTCCTCTGGGGGCAGCACGGTGGCGCAACTGGTAGAGCTGTTGCCTATCAGTGAGCAGGTCCCTGGTTCAAACCTCGGTCCGGGGGCCTCTCTGGGTGGAGTTTGCATGTTCTCTCTGTGCATGCGTGGGTTTTCTCCGGGTACTTTACTGAAACTTTTTTACTTTTGGACATTTGTTCTGATGCATAACCATGGCAAAATGGTGGGGTTTTTTTTACAACCAGGAGCAGCTGATTACCATCTCAAAAGCTCAAACAATATCTCAACTACAGCTCAAATCTCAAATGAGCTGAAAAGGAGGCTCCGTGGATGCATTCCCATCTACCTGCCAGCTGTGCTCGAGTGCCTGACCACTGAGATCCTAAGAGCTATTTAGGAGATGAAACTGGCAAGAAACACGTCTCGTGACAGCAGAAGGACCAGGATTGTCCCCCGGCACTTGCAGCCGTCTGTCTGCAGCAATGAGGAGCTCTGCAGGCTGTTGGAAGGAGGGGCCATCTCTCAGGGAGGAGTTCTGTCCGGCATTCGGGCAGTCCTGCGGCCCGGGGGATCCGAGAGGTCCGCCGAGTCTGGGTGGATGGATCGGACAACATCTGCGGCCAGTTTCTTTGGATCCACTGTGGGATGGACTTTTACAAGAGATCCTTCTTGCCTACATCAATTAGTATCTATAAAATCTCAATGAAATGAGGATTACAAGTTACAACATTTAATTTCCCTTTGGGATTAATAAAGTATTTTTGAATTGAATTGAAAAAATGTTTTGTTAGAAAACTCAAAGGTGACATTTAGAATCTATAAATTAGTTACAATAAACACTCAGTTTGAGTTTGATGCCACCAACAAACCTGTCAATAACTGGAGATGTGCTGTAAAAGATGATGAATCTTTTATTAGCAGCAGAACTTTAGAAAACACTTCAGAGACACAAACACCGCCCTGCTGCTATAAATACGCACACAGACCCCCCCAGCCCCCGCTCAGGTCTCATGTTATATGTCAGGAGGTGAAGCCTCCTTGGTGGTGTGGTCTTTGGCGGGTTTGTTTGAAACTTCTTTTTATTTCTTAGTCATCTTGAGGTCATCAATCAGTGGCTTTTTTTGGTTAATTTTTTTTCTGTAGGCTTTGCATCTTGCTTTCTTCGGAGCATTGCATCTGCAGGCAGAGGTTGTCTGCTCTCATCATGTATCTGCAGCTGGGTCCAAAACAACTCCCAGAGAGCACGCAAGGTCACATGAACGAGCACAGCTCAACACAAGCCCACCGTAAAGGTACAGTTGTTCAGCATGTTCAATGGTATTTATACTACATGAACACATTGTGTCATGTTTTAACCACAAACCTCAACATATTTAATGGAAATGTATTTGATAGACCGACACAAAGTAGTGCATGATAAATAAAAACAAAACAATTGGACTTTTATTCTGTAGTTAAAGACTTTTTGCTTCCGGTCTAGTTAGCTTTTCTTTATTAAAAACAAATTGAGGATGGAGTTCCTTGCTTGGAATCAAGTCTACTCGTTTAGATTTGTTTAATTTCTTTATTTTCTGTTCATTAACTATTATTATTAATATTATTGTTACCATGTCCTGGATGACTGAGAATCCACACCTGCATGGTGCGTTATTGTGAAGTGGATGAAAAACAATCCATGGATTTCCTGTCAGAAGTCCATCAAGTTTAATGTCAGAATAAATCCAGCAGTTCTGTGAAGGCCTGAGAGGACTGCTACAAAGCATTAATGATCAAACAGCATCATAAAGACCAAGGAATACATCAGACTGGTCAGGAATAAAGCTGTTGAGCAGCTTGGGGTGAGGTTATAAAACAATACCCAAGCTTTACTCAATCCATCATCTGAATATAGAAAGATCCTGGCACAGCTGCAGACCTTCGCAAACATGACCCCCCCCCCCCACCCCCACCACCACCAGCTAAACACAAAGCATTAAACTTGAAAACAGCCAAGAAGTAACTCTGGAGGAGCAGCAGAGATCCACAGCTCATGAGGGACAATCTGTCCACAGGACAAGGGTTACTCCTGTCCTCCACAAATGGTTTCTATGGAAGAAGAAAACACATGTTGAAAGAAAACCAGAAGAAGTCCTGCTGCAGTTTGTTATGCGGCATGAAGGAGATGCAGCAAACATGGAAGAAACTGCTCTTCTCACTTCAGACCAAAACTGAACTTTGACTAAAAGGGATTTAGAGGAAAGAGATCTGATGTGCAGTAGTCCTCATTTCATGTTTTTATTCTTTTGTTCTGGTAAAGTAGTTGTGTTTATTTTAATAAGATTTTTATGGTTAATATTTTTAGAGCTGATTTTTGATTTTTGCTAAATGCACAACATTATGTGTGTCAGAAAACTACAGCTGCACATCCCTCTGAACACACCATCTCTTCTGTAAAACATGGTGGTGGCGGCATCATGCTATGGGGATGCTTCTCGTCAGCAGTAATGGTAGATGAATGGAGCTAAAGAAAACAGAACAAGACTGGAAGAAAGCCTGTAAAAGACTTGAGAACAGGGCAGAGGTTCAACTACCAGCAGGACGACGACCCAAGACATCAGCCAGAACTACACTGGAATGAGTCGGATCAAAACACAAACGTGTCATGACGGCAAAGTTAAAGTCCACACCTAAATCCAACTGAGATCCTGCTGATCTTATAATCTGCTTGTGTTTGAACTCATTTGAAATAAGAAGGGCAGAAATGTCAGAATTTACTGTAGATGTGCAAAACTGCTGGAGACAAACCTCAAGACTTGCAGCTGGATCTGCAGTAGATGGTCCTACAGAGTACTGAATCAGGAAGACTGAACACAAATCCATGTCACACTTTTCAGATTTTTATTTATTTATTAAAAACTATGCATCATATCTATCAAAGTTCATGCTCAATAATCCAGTTAGAAAATCCAACAAAGTTCAGTCAGGTCCTGTGGACAGATTATTTTTGCTGAAACGTCTCGTCTTTCATCCAAAATATGGAAACCATCCAGAAACCATCTGAGCACCATCAAACTGACCCACTATGTGAAGGTACTATTTATAAGACTGAGTTTGTTGTGGGTCCTCAGACTGATGAAGTCTTTTGGATAAAAGACGAAATGTTTCAACACAAAGAAACCATTCACAGGACCTGACATGCATCATATCCTTTACGTTTTATAGATAAGGGCAACTTTGTGTTGATTTCTCAAATAGTTATAATATTAAAAATAGAGAATTGATGAAGACTCTGGTTGCAATGTGACAAAATGTGGTATAAAAAGTTGATTGCTAACTAGAAACTAACTAAAAAGACAAATTAGAATATTTGACCTGAAATTGTGTAAAGCTGGGCTGTCTTTGTTGAAGGTACATTTGAAGAGAAGAACATGGCAGAGTCTGCTGGTGGTCCCAGGGTAACCTCAACCATCTGCCTGCGAGACATCTACGATCCCAGGAAACAACCTTCTAAAGCTCCTGTCCCGATCCGCCCCCCTGCCCCAAGACTTTCCTCCATACAGGAACGAGATTTGGAGGAGCACCTTCCCAGTGACACTCCAATAAGCGCGATCAGGAGGAAACGAGCTCAGTCCCTTTCTACATGTTCGGACACAAAAAGGGAGCTACGGCGAGGTCGTGTACGTTTTGTGGATGCGCTGGGTCTGGATTTGGAAGAAGTTAAGGTATTCCGAGTTCAAGAGCACCTCCTGATACCCCAACACGTTATGTTTCGACTGATGATGAGCTCTGAGCTAACGTTTGGAAAGTCAGTGGAGCTAAGCCTGCCTTATTTCAAGCCCTGTTTCCCTGAAAACCTGGGGGCGCGGCCAGACTTCCTGAAGCGTCTCCATGCTCAGAGAGTGTGCGTGGATCGGGTGATGTGTTCAGAGCACGGCATCATGGGCACCGTGCAGGTGCTCAACCTGGCTTATGAGAAAGTGGTGACAGTGCACTACTCCTTCACCAACTGGAGGACACACACAGACACAGCAGCCTCCTGGGTGTCGGCCGGGCATCCCGAGGGGTGTGCTGCCTCGGACACAGACCTGTTCAGGTTTCATCTGCCTGTCCCACCCTTCATATTGCAGCCAGGAGCCATCTTGGAATTTGCCGTCTGCTACTCCGTCAAAGGATGTGACTACTGGGACAACAACAACGGCAACAATTACAAACTTTCATGCCACAGCTACAAGGTGATGGTGCCAAAGGAATGCGAGGACAGCATGCTGCACTTCACCTGAGCGTCCACCTGGGGGCGCTGTGAACGTTTTAATTAAATGTCTTGGGCTTTCTATTATTTTATTCTTGACTGTACCAAGAACAATAACCTGCTGTGTGTTTCCTTTTGACAAACATCACTACATCACTTCATTTATCAGCTCTACATTTATTCTACTGGACTTTCTGTCTCCCAAGAAACAAATTAAATGATTCCAAAAAAGTTCAATCTGGTCCTCTGGACATTCAAAAAAAACAAAAACAAAACAAAGCAAACAAATATAGAAACATTTCGTCTCTCATCCAAGAGACTTCCTCAGTCTGAGGTG